CTGTTGGTGCGCCTTTGCTCACAGTGCCTCAAGATCACCAGGCCTGCTTGGTGGGCTCCATGAAGCCTTGGGCCATTCTTGCCACCTGTGCTCCAACCCACCTGGGCTAACACTCCACCCCTCTACCACTCTACTGCCACTTTTTTTGTGTGGGGGGTTGGGGTACTGGGGATTGAACTCCACACATAAGTATATCATACTCAAACTACTGAAAGGCAAACATAGTGAAATCTTGAAAGCAGACAAAGAAACATGGTACTAGATTGTGTGAACAGCACTACTGACCAACTTAATCAAACTGACTTTTGTAAAATGCAATACCCAACAATCCACAAAACATATTACAGTTATCTCTCAGTAGTCATAGAAGGTTCATTTCAGGATCCCCATGTATAATAACATAAATGAATGCTCAATTATATCACATATAATGGCATAATGTTTGCACATAATCTATTATACACCCTCCCATTTACTTTAAATCATGTTATACTGTATTGCTTATAGGGGTCAATGACAAGAAAGAAAGCCTACACATGTTCAGTACAGATGCAGTTATTCTTCTGAATATTTTTGATCCAAACTGGTTGAATCCCATGGATGCAGAACTCACAGCTACAGAGGGCCAACTATACTTTCTTGTTTGCATGGTCTATTTACTAAAATATAAATCAGATGCATATTCAGAAGATAAGTTCTAATAAATTTCAAAGAGATTTATTAAAAACTTACATGGAATATGTTCTCTGAACACAATATAATTAAATCAGAAAGTATTAATAATATACTATAAGAACTCTAAATATTTGGATATTAAACACAGTATTTTAAAATAAACCATGGCTTCGGGCTGTAGTTGTGGCTCAGTGGTAGAGTGGTTGCCTAGCACATGTGAGGCACTGGGTTCGATCCTCAGCACCACATAAAAAATAAATAAATAAAATAAAGGTATTGTGTCCATCTATAACTTAAATAAATAAATAAATAAATAAGCAAGCAAGCCATGGCTCAAGAAAAAAATCATAAGGATAATTAGAAAAGATTTTAAATAGAATAAAATGCAATATAATGCAGTGCTCAAAGATAATAACTTTACACACAATTCTTTACAAAAATAAACACAAAAACCTTAACAGACTTTAGCAAATTAAGTCCTACAACATATTAAAAAGATCATTGGAGATTATGGGGTTTATTCCAGGACTGCAAGGTTTAAAGTGATAAGATCAGACACACACACATGTATATAGATACGTGTACATGTATATCTGGTTATGAGATTTTTACATATACATATATATATTTGCATTATATATTTATATATATTTATTCTAGGTGATCATTACTAGATTTTTAAGCTATGGTGTATTTATACAACGGAATACTATTCAGCAATTTAAAAAATGATCACAGAATTAGTACCCCTTATCTGCAATTCTGCTTTCATGGGTATCAGTTACCTGTGATCCAAAAATATAGAAAATTCCAGAAATAAGCAATTCCTAAATTTTAAATTGCATACATTTCTGAGGAGCATGATGAAATTGCTTGTCATCTAATGGTTCCTATCCAGGAGGGATATAAAACAACCTTTTATTCATCATATCCATGCTGCATTTGCATGCAGCTCTTAGTCACTAAGTAGCTATCTTAGTCATCAGATCAACTATTTCAGTATTATTGGCTTAAATATTGGCCCTAAAGTAAAAGAGTAGTGATGTTGATGGGTTTTATTACAGAATATTATAATTGTTCTATTTTATTATTAGTTACTGTTGATAATCTCTTACTTTGCCTAACTTATAAAAATAAATATATATCTAAATCATAGGTACATATGTATAGGAAAAAAACACATATATTTGGTTTGGTATTATACATGGTTTCAGGCATCCACTGAGGTCTTGGAATTTATTCTTCATGAATGAAAGACTATTAGAATCATAAATGCAACAATATGTATGAATCCCAAAAATATGCTGAGTGAGGTAAGTCTTTTACAAAAGAATATATACTGTGATTTCATTTAAATTAAGTTCTACTTTAGGCAAGCTGATCTATGATTTTTTTTTTTTTTAAGAAGTCACAACAGTGATTGCTTTTAAAAGCTAGGATTATCTGGGAAGAGGCATGTGAGAACTTTAAGGGGTTATAGAAAATGTTCTGTATCTTGATAGGGAATTTAGTTAAAAACAGTGTATCCACTTTTCAAAATTCATAAAAAGATACATTTCAAATTTTAGCACTTTATTGTATGCCAAAGTTACCTTAAAATCATAAACAAATTTAGTTATGAAATGTTATGCAAAAGAATTAAGGTGAGAAGTATACTGATGCCTGCAAATTACTTTTGAAATATATATAAAAGGATGAATTAATGGATGAATAGATGGATGGAGAGACAGTGATGAAGCAAAGAGCAGAATGTTAACAAATGTAGCATGTATGTGCTGGGTATGGAGCTATTAACAGTATAAGTGTTTCAACTTTTCCTTTTGAGAATTTACATAATAAAATGTAGTGGAAAATTAGTAATAAAATGTATGGGGAAATTACTTTAAAAATAATTTAAGACAGGCAGCCCAAGAGTAGACAATTGAAAATTATGTGGTTCATAGACTTAACCTGGTTTACATTCTTCTATCCAATTTACAACAATATATAACATTATGTTTCTTACTATTTTGCTAACGTGTCCACTGTTTGTTGTTATTTTAGATTTATATATTTACTTTTTTTTCTAGAATAACTCCATTATTTTCTTAGGAAAGTTACTTAAATTCTTTTGAATTTCATATACAAGTTTTTTTGTAAGGTGCTTTGAGAAAGCTAAAAGTGTTCCACAATTTTAAAAAATAATAATAAGGTCCTAAAACATCTACAATTTAATAAAAGAAACTAAATTCTTGGTTTTCCAGGCTTCATTTTAAATAGACAAAAATAAAAACATAGCTGCATGTGAATATTTTATGTACAGTAAAAATATGCCAATTGTAATACCTCATGCACAAAAGGCCCTTTTCTCTGGGATAAAGGGTATGACATCAATGTGATATCCTTGGACAGATCTGTTCTTTCTTGGAATTCAGTCAAGTATGTTTTCAGATATCCTGCAAGACACTGGCATTATGGCAAATTCAATCATTTCAGTCACTCCCGAAATCCTACTGCTAAGATCAGTCAATTCCACAGGAACTCATTGTGCTCATTTGAACAATTCAGAAGGAGTTGGCCCTTTCTATTTTTTACTCATACTCCCAACCTTAAACTCAATTCATCAGCTTCAAAACTGCATGCTGACTGAACATTAAAAGTTGAGAATAATGTTTTCTCATTCACTGGGAATGATAGAAGCATCATCCCATTTTCTATCATTGCACAAAACCCTATTGATAAAAATCTGATACCAAATAAATGCACACACGCATACACGACTTCCTAAAATACAAGGGCAAATTACTGCCCATTAGCTGATCTTGGTCTTCATTTCTATTCTAGGAATCCCCACCTCCCAAGGTTCCATGTTCTATTTCTGTATGCTGTCTTATATTATTACTAGGGAAACTTTTTTTAATCAATACTCTATTTCTGTCATTTTTTGCCTCTGTTCCCACATTCATCTTCTTCTTTCAATATTCTCATATATTCAGGAGGTGAGATAAGCATCCTCACCTTTCTAAGGAGGTAAGCTGTGCATCAGAATTATAAAAGGTATTGAGAATGATACGTCTTCATCAGCCTAGGTTTTATAACCAGAACTATTTGAAGACTGGAAGGATCTTTCATAAACATAGCTACTAGTCAGCTGACTCTCTGATCCAAAGAGAAAGTGTGTTCAAAGAGAAAGTATAGGCTGGGTTTGTAGCTCAGTGGTAGAGCTCTTGCCTAGCACATGTGAAGCACTGGGTTCAATCCTCAGCACCACATAAAAAATAAATAAATAAGGGGCTGTGGCTATGGCTCAGTGGTAGAGTGCTTGCATAGCATTATGAGGCACTGGGTTTGATTCTCATCACTACATATATATTAATTAATTAATTAAATTAAAATCCATCAACAACTAAATTTTTTTAAATAAATAAATAAAGGTGTCATGTCCATCTACAACTAAAAAAAATTTTTTTTAAAGAGGAAATAGGGCTGGGGTTGTGGCTCAGTGGCAGAGCACTTGCTTTACACACTTGCGGCACTGGGTTCGATCCTCAGCACCACATAAAATAAAAATAAGTAAACAAAAAAAGATATTGAGTCCATCTACAACTAAAAGTTAAAAGAGGAAGTAGTCTCTAGTGATATATAGAAACTCAAAAGGATTTTTATGTAAATACGCTGATGCAGAATTCATATCAAGTCTATTTTTCCCCTGATTTTTGTCTGTATTTAAAGTTATTATCAATAGTATCCTAAAGACACTATGTTAAAACTGGCATGAAGCTGTTGAAGTCTTTCTACTCAAAAACAACAGATGAAATAATAAACAGAGTATGGCAGGCTGCAATCTGTTCCAATATCCATCATTCCCTTTTCTATAGAAATAAACTGGACATGTAGCTACCCAGATTAAAAACATGTTCTTCCCTCAACTAAAGTTATATATGACCATGTGACTAAAGTCTAATCAATGGGATATAAGCGTAAGACATATGGGTAGCTTCTGCATCCATTGCCTTAGGAGTGAATATGATAGACCCTTGGGCCAAGAGGACAAGGAATCATAGCCAAGCGACAATGGAGTAATCTGATGGAAAAGTCTGGTATTCTGAAGACTGCATGGAACAGTATCCATCTCTGGACTTTTATTTAAAAGCCAAATAAACTTTTTCTTCTTCTTCTTTTTTTTTTTTTTTTTTTGCCATTCTGGGACTCCAACCCAGAGCATGCTGGTCAGGTGCTCAACCACTGAGCTACACCTCAATCCCAAACTTCTACCTTTCTAAAGCCTTTCATTTGGATCTCTGTTACTTGTTGCTGAACTTAACCAATAAGGAAAAACAGAAGACCTCAGGTACTTCTTTTGAGTAAGTTGCAGAGTTATCCAACTGAGGCAGACTGCATATTGTAGATGATACATTTTCTGAAAAAAGAGATGAGGAACTTTTTAGTACTATTAGTCTGCAGGGTTATTTGTATAAAAATTGAACTCAGCTAAGTGAATATGCTAAGTCTTTGGCATATTTACAGAATGCTAAGAGTTGCTATGGAGCCTAATCACATTGATAACTTGACAGAGTATATGAGCTTACTAAACGATTAGCATGCTCTACTGAACATATGGCTTTAAAAACCTTTGGACTACTTACAATGTTGCTTTCTGTCAACTGCAGGAGGCCCAAATGGAACCAATTATGATTAATGATAAGAGATTTAAAATTCATTCCTGAAAGAGTTATACCTAAGGAAATCTGTAAAACAATCATTCTCAACAGTAGGATAGACTAACCAACCAATGAAGTATATTACAAAATCGCTTTCAGAAACTTGTCAATTTTTTTTAAAAGGCGCTGAGGATTGAACCCAGGGCTTTGCTCATGCAAATCAAATACTCTATTCTGAAGCTATAGCCCCAGCCCAGAAACTATCAATCAAGAGGCTTGAAAGATTAAAGTGTCATGGAAGACAAATACCAAGGATAAGGAGAAGAAAGTCTGTTATAAGTTATTGACATTTTAGATTGACAAGATGCACATATGAAAAAAACTTGCAGAGTATAAGCTAATTGCTTGTCAATCTAGAAGCCTATCAGAAGATACACTGAACCTACCTAAGGTAAGCAGGTTATAAGATAAATAAGCTACATGAAAAACAGAATAAAGGGTAATTTACTCTAAAAATCTATAAAAATTATTTACAGCTTTGTGTCTTGGTCCTCAGCTTGAAACTACTGGGAGGTAGTAAAAACTTTAAGAGGTAGAGGCTAGTAGAGGTATTTAGGGGCATATCCTTAGGAAATGTGGGATCTCTCAGTCTCTTCTCTTTTTACTCTCACTTCTTAGTCATGAAGGAAGTAGTTTTGTTTCACCATGAACTTCCACCATGATGTGCTCCCACAGGCCCCCAAAAAACCAGAGCCAACCAATTAATAACTGAAACTGTAAGCCAAAATAAACCTTTTCTCTTTAGCTGATTATCTCAGATATGTGTTACAATAACAGAAAGCTGACTGACATTAATTTAGAGCATTTCTGAATTAATGATATAAGTAAATGAAAAATTAGATTCATGATAACAAATGCTTAACTCATTCAGAGTTTTTGATTAACAGCACATATCAAGGTATACCTGTTCTTTCATCCCAGCTTTTGTCACTGAGTTTCCATTTTAAGGAAGAAAAGGTATTTAAGGGGAAAAAAAAAAAGTTTAATTTCAAATAGCAATAGCATATTCTTTGACTAGGTCAAGTTCCAGAATATCAGTAATGAATCTTCAAGGGGAAATAAAATCAAATTTAAAGGCAAAAACTTTTCTCATCTTAGATTTAATTATATTTTTAACTGCCACATGATATAGCCAGTACCAAAAATGTCTCCACAGCAAGGCATGTAAACTGATCTTTTAGCAGGCCTCTTTGAAAGTGAAAAATCCTTTCCTAAAATGAATTATTCAAAGCTGAAAAAAAATAATAGAAGACAAGTGAGAAAATAATAAAGGGAATATTTTTCTTTCTTTTTCCCCAAACAAAAGAAAATACAAAATTACAAAATGCATATACCTTGAGTATTTTTTTATTTTGAGAATAAAATAAGTATAAGAAAAGAAGAACTTAAACTAGCACTATTTGCTGATGATATGATTCTATACCTAGAACACCCCACCCCCCAAAAAAAAACTCCACCAGAAAACTTCTAGAACTAGTAAATGAATTCAGCAATGTAGCAGGATATAGAATCAACACCCCAAAATCAAAGGTATTTCTGTATAAGTGACAAATCCTCTGAGAAGGAAATGAGGAAAACTACCCCATTCACAATATCCTCAAAAAAAAATAAATAAATAAAATAAGATACTTGGGAATCAACTTAACAAAAGAGGTGAAAGATCTATACAATGAAAACTACAGAACCTTAAAGAGAGAAATCTTCAAAGAAGACCTTAGAAGATGGAAAGATCTACCTTGCTCATGAATAGGCAGAATTAATATTATCAAAATGACCATATACCAAAAGCACTATACAGGTTTAATGCAATTCTGATCAAAATCCCAATGGCATTCCTCTCAGAAATATAAAAAGCAATCATGAAATTCATCTGGAAAAATAAGACACCCAGAATAGCTAAAGCAGTTTGAAGCAGGAAGAACAAAACAGGTGGCATCGCTACACCAGACCTTAAACTATACTACAGAGCAATAGTAACAAAAACAGCATGGTATTGGCACCAAAACAGGCCAGTAGACCAATGGTACAGAATAGAGGACATGGAGACTAACCCACAAAATTACAATTATCTTATATTAGACAAAGGTGCCAAAAACATGCACTGAAGAAAAGAAATCATCTTCAACAAATGGTGCTGGGAAAACTGGAAATCCATATGCAACAAAATGAAATTGAATCCCTATCTCTCACCATGCACAAAACTTAACTCAAAATGGATCAAGGACTAGGAATTAAACCAGAGATTCTGTGTCTAATAGAAGAAAAAGTAGGCCATAATCTTCATCATGTGGGATTAGGCCCTAACTTCCTTAATAAGACTCCTATAGCACAAGAATTAAAAACAAGAATCAATAAATGGGATGGATTCAAACTAAAAAGTTTTTTCTCAGCAGAAGAAATAATCTGTGAGGTGAACAGAGAGCCTACATCCTGGGAGCAAATTTTTACCCCTCACACATCAGATAGAGCACTAATCTCTAGGGTATATAAAGAACTCAAGAAGCTAAACACCAAAAAAACAAATAACCCGATCAATAAATGGGCCAAGGACCTGAACAGACACTTCTCAGAAGAGGATATAATATCAATCAAAAAATATATGAAAAAATAATCATCATCTCTATCAATCAGAGAAATACAAATCAAAACTACTCTAAGATATCATCTCACTCCAGTCAGAATGGCAGATATTATGAAGACAAACAACAAGTGTTAGCGAGGATGTGGGGGAAAAGGTACACTCATACATTGCTGGTGGGACTGAAAATTGGTGCAGCCAATTTGGAAAGCAGTATGGAGATTCCTTGGAAATCTGGGAATGGAACCACCATTTGACCCTATTCCTCTTCTCTGACTATACTCAAAGAACTTAAAAACAGCATACTACAAGGACACAGCCACATCAATGTTTATAGCAGCATAATTCACAAAAGCTAAACTGTGAAGCCAACTTAGATGTACTTCAGTGAATGAATGGATTAAAAAATGTGGCATTTATACACAATGGAATATTACTCAGCATTAAAAAAGAACAAAATCATGGCATTTGCAGGTAAATGGATAGCACTAGAGAAATTAATGCTAAGTGAAGTTAGCCAATCCCCAAAAAAACAAATGCCAAATGTTTTCTCTGATATAAGCGGGGGGTGACTGATAGTGGGGTAGGGAGGGAGAGCATGGGAGGATTAGATTAATTCTAGATAAGGAAGAGGGGTGGTAGGGAAAGGGAGGGGGAAAGGGATTAGCAAGGATGGTGGAATGTGATGGTCATCATTATATAAAGTACATGTATGAAGACTTGAATTGGGTGTCAACATATCTTATATACAGAGATATGAAAAATTGTGATATATATGTGTATTAAGAATTGTAATGCAAAAAAGTACATGTATAATGGCATAAATTGGCGTGAACATACTTTATATACAGAGATACAAAAATTGTAATGCAGAGGAAGATGGTGGCAAATAGAGGGCGACACCCCCATGTCCGCGTCACTGCGCAGGTGATTAGTGAGTTTAGAAGGGCCGGAAGCTATCTTGATAAGAATCTCCAGCAAAACTGGGGTGCACTGAAACCTAGAGGAAGAATTTCAGCACCTGAGGATCAGTGATAGCGGCTCAACTGCGAGTGAGCGGTGCGCCCAGAGATTCAGGCTGATTGATCAGAGGCCCACCCCATAGCCGGAGCCTGCACAACAACGTGCCAGCAACGCAGAGAAATGGTGCTACGGATTCTGTGGGGTCCTGCCAACTGTGCTCTCACAGTGCTCCAGGCTGAGTTCTGGGATTGAGACGGGGAGAGAAACGGTCCAGATCTGCCCTCCACACCAAACACCCCACCGAGGAAGCCAGCGGACACCATATTGGGGAGCTGACGTCACCATCGCCAGCTTCCGACAGATCAGACCCCATGGCAGCAAGTTTAGCGACAGAACACGTGTGTAACACTCAGCCCCTCTCCCATACAGCGGGGAAACAGCATAAAATCTCTCCCCGGCTTTCAGGTGGCGTGAATATCAGAGGCATGGGGAAAAGTAAAGACACCTGACCTCCAACTCCCCCCTCCCACCAGCAGTGAAAATGAAACTTGTCTCGCCAGCTCTCGGGGGAGTGGCTATTGGAGGGAATCGAAATAATAGGGGGCCGGTTCCCAATACCCGCGCTCCACATCCAGGAAACTGCAGGCCCAGAGTGTAGCTTGAACTGCGGAGAGGTACCACACTGGGGAAGGCTTGTCTGGCGGGAGAAGCAGGAGACTAGAAGCCAGGAATAAACCTAAGTGAACAGGATTGGAGAGACACCAGGTGGGGGAAGAGGGAGTGGCCTCATACTGATTGTTTCCTACAGCCCGAGGGCAAAATCTTGGTCTGGAAGGCACAGCTCCACCTACTGGAAGCGAAGAAAATAGAAGCCTAACAGTGCTTTTTTTGCTTTTTTTTTTTAATTGTAATTTTTATTTTACTTTATTTTTATCATTTCTTCTTTTTCTTTTCTATTTTTTTCTCTTTCTTTCTTCTCTCCCTCTCTCTTTCTTGGTTTGCTTCCTTACCTTTTCCCTATCTTTCCTCCCAAGCACGACCACTCCGATTATGTGTAATTTACTAAATGCAAATAGATGAATGTTACCAGACGGTCTATAGTCCGCCTAAGCCCTTAACTACCCCCAAGTACTCCTGTCTATTCTCTTGTTAATATCC